TGTTATACAGTTTTGTTTTTTTTTTAATCTGGATGTTTAGGGTAAGAACTCAACATGGATTTATAAACTGTAGGAAAATGTTATTTTATAAAATTTAATTAACATTTACTATTGTAAAATTTGGAGATGACGACATTTCATTGTTGGTGGTGATGATCAGACACATTTTGGTTATTATTAGAGTGTTACCATCTAGACGGTATTCATAACATACATAAAGTTTGGCAATAATCTGTCTGGTAGCTTCGAAGAATATCTGTCTAAGAAAAATCGACACAAACGGCAGACACACGCACGGAGATGGAGGAGCTATTTTTTCATACTCTAGGGGTCATGAAACATCGAAAAAGTAGCCAGTCCCCGATGGACTCGATTGCAATAATCCCTTAATTTACGCTCGGGAAGTAAAAAATATTTATATATAGTTGAATTATTTCATAATTTTTTATAGTACAAAAACATTCGAACTAACATGTAAGGTTTTTTAGAATTATTAGAGTTTTAGAAAATCATGTTTTATGAAAAACTATGTAAAACATACACGGTTCTGAAGAAGACTAAACACGAAAGAATAAATTACTTCAAAAAATGCTAAATTTATGAACACCGGCGTTTATCAGCAAAAATATATCTTGAACATATCATATATCCAAGACACACATCTTTAGATGTAATTAAAGTGGATGTAAGTTTTGATACATTTTATACAAGTGGAGCGAGATAAAAAATTAGTTTCGATAATTATGACACAAATTTCGGGATAATTTTTTAAATATTGAAAATTATCATTTTACCATGTCCAGTGTGTTTGTAGACGTTGTAAGTTGGGACACACACACACACCAGTCGCCATTGTTATATAGGTACACTAGATTAAACTAACTAAGTCCAAAGTTGATTTGCGATGTGTCCACCACGTAATTACTACACATGCAATACGTATGTAGGGTTTTTCAGCTTAAAAAACCAATTTAGTGTGATCTGGTCTGCAACTTAAAATACATTAGTCGCGTATTCCTTGATTCAGTTCTTTTTAAAAAAGAACACAAATCCTAGTAGTGATGCGTCTCATTTGTGATGTAAAATTCAAATATTTCAAATTCAATCCATAAGGCAACTTGTTTCAGTACTTAAAACGCATTACATTAAAGATTTAATTTTTGTCAAATATAACGAAACGAATTATTAAGAAAATAAAGTAACTACAACAAATGTTCTATGTGTTCCCCGTTTCGCTCACATGCTTCTACTCTAACAATAAATGAGTGCCTCATACGTTCTAACACTGCTGGACTAATTGATGCACACGTTTCAGTTATTCGTCTTTGCAGTTCATCCATATCTTCAAAAGGAGTTTGATAAACCCTTTTTTGAATGGTTCCCCACAAAAAACAAACCAGGAGTCAAGTCAGGGCTTCTGGCAGGCCGAAGATTAATGCGACAAAGCCTGGATCGGTAGCAAGTTGTTCTCTAACAAATTAGCAAAACTGCAATCTTCGAGGATAATCAACCTCTCGTAGCTCATGAACCACGTACACATCGTAGGGACGGGAACTGTTCCTCTTTAAAATTTTACATACAGAAGCCTGACTTATCCTGGTCTCCACTGCGACTGCCTCTTGACAAATGTGGGGATTTTAGGCAACGCTGGCAAAAACTCTTATTTCGTTGTCAACACTTTCTGCAGACCGGACACTTTGACGTTTCCTGCTTATTCGCTCATTTCTAATTCGTTATTTAAGCTGAATAGCCCTATATATAGAATGACACGAATTTTTAAACCACCTTTACGATTTTTTTGCATTAAACATTCTTAAAACGTAGCAAATAACACAAGTAAACTTTGATTAAAAAATGTTTGTAATAAAGACTTTCAAAAGTAATTCTTTTACTCTTCCATGAAAAATCCTTCATTTTATTTATAATAAATATAAAAAAAAGTTATTCAGCTTCCATCCCTGCTACTAATGTTTAAGTTATGCGGACAAAATACTGACATTCGAAAGAGTTACGTTTTATTGAAGGAAGAATATTACAATTTTCTCAAATGGACTGAATATCAACAGTTTTTAAAATGCTTTTTTCGTAAAAAAAGATTGAATTAATTATGTTCTTATTTGATTTGATCTAAACATGAATTATGAAAAAAATTCTAGAAATAACCCCTTTAAAATTCATAAAGAATATTTAATTTGGAGCTTCAGGATCCCTTTACATTGTGAACAAGTACTTAACTTCAGAAGATTCACGAATAGTTTTGGAAAAAAAAGGAAAGTCAAAGATCGAACCCCGGAGACCCTTCAAATGCAAAGCCAGTGTGCTTGTCACTGAGCCATATTTCGTATGGTTCGTATTGTGTGTTTGAGGTTCAGTTTTACTACGAAACATACTGAACAATAAAAATTAAAATAATAACAAACAAAAATAGGAAAAACTCATAAACTGCAAGTACAGGAACATCTTATTTTATAAAATTTAGGTAGGTAACCTTAACTACCCAAAACAATGAAGGGACGTCATTATATTATTGGTGGGGAGGATTAGACAAATTTTGGTTTGGTTAATTATTTTTACGGTATTCCTAATACACATAAAATTTTACAATAATCAGTTCTGTAGTTTCGGAGATTATTTGTCTAATAAAAATCGTCAAATGACATACAAACGGAAACGCGAAACCTATTTTTTCATACTTTATGATTTTGCAAAATTATGAAACCACTAGAAAAAGTGTTCACGACAAATCTCAGTTTACAGGTAGAAAACTCGAGGGTTGTGTGCTTCTCTTTTCTAGTAATGATTTTCCGCATCCGCATAAACCAATTCGAGATTATTTCTGTATTATTTTAGTAGCTTATTGCGTTAGCCACACAAGCTACATTTCAATTGAAAAAGAATATCTGCATTTATTTCTTTCGATTAATTGGTAACATTAATTAAAACAGTTATCACTGTTCAGGTCATTTATGTCAAACAAGAAGATAAAATTTGCTTCCGTTTTTACTTTACTAGCAGCATTAGCAGATAAGTATTTATAACCTGGTCACTTTGCAATATCTAATTCTACGACTTCTTTGCATTTCATGGCTCATGGAAAAAGCAAATAATAATTTATTTTTTTAATATTATCTTGAGATATGTTAAGATGTCAAAATATGGGTCATTCATTAAAAAAAGAACTGTTTTAAAACAAAGGCAGGATACCAAGTAAAGGGGCGAGTTATAAAAGACACATCGGTTAAAGCAAAAATCAATGAGGACAAACACAATAGTATAATTTAGGTGCGCTTCAAAAGAAAAAAAGGGAAGCATGTTAGACTGATTTTAAAGAAGTTGGAGGAACATAAGTGCCGGAACAAGGGTGGATACTTGAACAAGTGAAATTCAAGTGCTGGAAAAGAACGAAAGGTTGCAATCTTTGAATGATTTTCAAAAGTCACGACAAACTACCTCAAGTTTTACTGCCAGCAAATTACACATGCTTTAGTTAGGTTGGATTTTATCAAAACTAAAATGTAATTAATTTTTAAATTTGTGTTGCATTTCAGCTAAGACCGTTGTTTTTGTGTTTCAGTGGATATTTATGAACCGGTTACCGTTGCAAATGTATTCACGTTTTGGAGTGCTACTTATAAAAAAACTAGTCATCAGAAATTCTTTATGTAATAAAATGCTTTGTTGGAAATATGTCTTACAAGTGTCGATCGTTGCATAACTAACATTCTCAAAGTAGCAATTCCAGCACACAAGTTAAAACGTGATTGCCAGTCACGTGGCTACAACTTAGGTAGGTACGTCAATTCAACTGCCAGTTACAAGAAATTGTTTAATTAGTTACACAATGGAAAATTTCATTCGGACAAAACGAAGGGAAACATATTTACGAATTCGTTGTACTTTACGTCATCGTTTGTATTAGAATACAATACTTAATTGCTTAATTCGTTATTATGTTTTTCATCAGATTTGTGAGACATCAGTAAGAATAATAATCTGCAATTTTCTAAGCAATTGTATCGCTTTAATGGGTGACTGAAAAGAATATAGCAGACTGTATTCAACTGTAAAAAATAGGTTACATTTACATGATGCTTTTACAGTTTCACTTTTTGTAGTCGTTAACCAAGAACCACATAACGGGATTTATTATTTTATAATTTTACAGTTTTTGAAAACACATGTTGACATGTAAAACTCAGAAAATATGCTAAGTGTATATTAGGTATGTTTACAAATTTTCAAGAAAAGTGGGAAAAGAATTTCTAAAATTCCTTACACAATGGGATTACTTCTTTAAAACTAACTATCATGTAATCTAGATGGTTAAACGCTAAACAAAAACCAAAATTTGTTTGTTGATAGCTTACAACAAAATGATGACGCAATATTAAAATTTTGCTAGATCTTATTTAAATGTTATAAAATAATATGTTTCTATATTATATTACATACAGTCTAAAATAATTCGTTCGTTTACCTTAAAGAACTAATTACGTCTACGCGTGTGTGGGTTATCTCTACAGCCGTATTTTTCAGCATCGTTACACAGGATGCCCCAAAAAATTTATTAATTTTAATTAGTATGTAGCACTGTAATTTATCTATTAAATAAAAAGCGGCTGAAACTTCTCAATTCTGGGAACACAGTAGTTGTTATTATTATTATTGTACCTATAAATCACCGGAAAAAAAACTTTTTGTCAAAAATTTACAATAAGTAGTTTTTTTCAACATAAGCAGTTCTTACTATGTCTTATTTCTTACAAAAAAGTCAGAGTTTTTCCTCCGATTTGAAAAGTTTTATAAGCTGAAAACAGTAGTGAGAACCGAATTCTGAAATTTTCATAAATCATAAGTAGGTAAGTACCTGATCTACCCGACCGCGACCCCCGCGGTGTAAGGTACTAATCCTTTACTTGGTCCGCAATTTATCGATCGGCTTAACAATCCCTGCAGAGCTGGGCCTTGATAATCAAGTTACCTGGGGCCTATTCCACCATTCACTTTGCAACTTTTTTCCGTGTCAATTTATGGGCGTTGTTGTACCGCCTTTCATCTTCAGCACCAGGGTTGCTGTGGAGAGGAGTCATCAACCACGGTCGTGTTGCGTAAGCTGAGTCACCCAAAATGACTGCTCCTGGAAAAAGCCTCCATCCTTGTTCAAACCTTCTATAAATTGCGGTGTTTCGAAAGACTCTGGAATCGTGGACGCTTCCAGGCCAATTTGCGTTAACTGCATAAAAATAATTATTTGGGCCGCATATCATCATGACATTTAATGAATGATCGCCATAGCGATCAACGTAGACTTCTTCATGATTAGAAGGGCTATCGATGTTTATTAAGGTGCCATCAACACATCCACAGACACATGGGAATCCACCTTTGCGCAAAAATTCCATGGCAATGTCTTGTGTATTTTCTGGCCATCTAACTTCCTCTTGAAACATTGTATCAATGATGATGTTGACAACTTTCTTAATACTTCGACAAACTGTCGATTTTCTTACGCCGTGCATGATGGCTATCTCATGCATCTAGGCATCATTCCCTAGCCAATGTAGTGTCAACAATAGTTGCTGCTCCGCTGTTAGAGCATGGTTTCTTCTATTTGCAGGGGCTAACCTAGCTCCGATTTTGCCTAAGACATACTTCACGTGTACCTTATTTAACCTGAATGCTTCTTTAAAATCAAAGTCGTTTTCAGTGGTAAAATGTACCCTTTCTTTATATATTTTTCGTCTTGGCGGTCTTTCATCTTCATTTTCACTAGATTCATCGCTTGAAAACAATATTCTTCTTATCATTTTGCAATCACTTTGACAACGCAAGGTTTATAGACCACTTTGCGTCTAAATTGCAAAATGAGTAAATTTTGCACTTTTACTTTCTAAAATTTTATAATGGTGGAACAGAAAATTAGAAAACATAACGTAAAGTTTATACTTTTCACTTTTCATTTTACTTTACCTTAATAAATTATGATGGGTGTGGTGGAACGCAAAGTACGTTTGAAAAGTGTAAAGTGTAAACTGCAAAGTTGCAAAGTGAATGGTGGAATAGGCCCCTGGTCTTCAATTTAGGTCCACCGCTTTTCTTAGAGGGTCTCTCATTTCCCAAAATAAGTTTTATCTTAGCAGGTACTAACCCCGCCCACCCGCCCTCTCTTCTCTTATAAGGTATCCCATTTGCCAAAATCTCTCTTATGTTAGAAGGTATTATCCCCGCCCACGCACCCTCTCTTTTCTCATAGGGTATGTCATCTGCCAAAATCGATCTTATTTTACCAGGTACTAACCCCGCCCACACGCCCTCTCTTTTTTTAGAGGGTATCTCATTTCCCAAAATTAGTTTATCTTAGCTGGTACTAGCCCCGCCCACCCGCCCTCTTTTCTCAGAAGGTATCTCATTAGCCAAAATCAGTCTTATCTTAGCAGGTACTTGTTAAGATAAGATTGATTTTGGTAAATGACATATCTTCTAAGAAAAAAAGGGCGGGTGGGCGGGGCAAAAACTTTTAAGCTAGGACTGAACAATATTAAGAGAAGTCACTGGAACGAAGAAGAGGTGGGTGGGCGGGGACTACTGCTTGCTCATAAAACTAGGAGAAAGCTAAATTTATCCCCCCCATCTTCTTTCTCCATTTCACTGACTTATTTTTAATTTTCAAAGATACTTGTTGAAAAATTTCAACAAAATTTTAAGAAGATTGATGATGATACAGGTTTGGAAAAAACTGCCCTTGTGTAATTGTAGAGAAAGTTATGGACAAGTTACATTTAAAATTTCATAAAAATAAGTTTGCCAATGTTGGAAATATTACATTCTGAAAATATATTGAATACCTTACAAGAACCATGTAGCGGTTGGTAGTAAGAACAAATAAAGACGCCTTAAGAAATTATAACACTACAGCAAAGTATGTTTAATAATACGGGGTAACTATTAATAATTTTTGTGTTGGTAATTCTGAAGTGTCGGTAGCAATGTTATCATGTCAGTACACAGTTCACACTAAATTTCAATTTGAGATCAGATATGCCACAAAAAAATTTAAATATGTTGCCCGACAGAAAAACATCATAAATATTAATAGTCACTCGGTAATATATAATCGAAATAAAAAAATCCTCTAGTAGACAACGCAATTTATTTTTAAAATAACGATGTTGGCATTGCAGCTATTTGTCGCTTCAATTAGAAGTTATTTGACAGTAACTGTAAAACTAAACAAGGAATGCGTTGGCGTATCCGCGTAGCTAACATCATTATTTTACAAATAAATTGCACGATGTACTAGAGGAGGTTTTTTTCGAGAATATCATATATCTAATTTCTTTAAGTTTTTAGTTCTCAGCAGTTTATGAAAAAAAAAAAAATTAGAAGAGCTAGAAGAGCAGTCAAGTCATATAGGTAAAGTACATAATCTAATTAACGACATAAAACAGCATCATATGAACCTATTGCATAATTAAAAACCAATCGTTCCAGAAAATTATTAATTATTTTCATTTCTTTTCACTTAAACGCATTGAAGCATGTTATTATATTATTATTATATTAAAGTTGAATGGTTGTTCAGGAAAGCCTGAACGTATTGCGGTGAGTTTTCAGATATAAAAGATCTGAAAAACCCATGTTTGAGATCGTGCTGAATTAGTTAACATTCTTTCAGAGTTTTTTAAAAACATAATTTTTAAGCGAAGGTTCGCGGGATGTGTTGACATTACCCTGAGGGACTAATCTGCAGTAATAATCCAGAATAGTAAATGATTTCCAGTTGTACAAATACTACGGCTATGTGTTTTCTTGCAGGAGTACAAACTAATTATTATTATTGTTAATTATTATTAAGTACAATTAAATCATTAAATTTGCAGAGCGTGTTAATTGTAGGCTTCATTTGCGTTTTGCCTGTATTGGTTTATCTGTTGATCAAGCTCATCTTATTTGAACTTGAACTTCAGTAGTATCAAAATTCTTTGTAACCGTTGTGAGAGTGAATATTGTGGCAGTACTGAAGCTGTTCGTTCATTTATAGAAGAACTATTACATGACATTAAGACACTTAATAATACGTCTAGCATAACGCCTATTGCCAGGGAGGAGTTCGTCTGTGAGTCAGTTGAGCGTTCTTTGTGGGCGAAAAATGTCATTCTGGCAAATGTTCCGGAAAATTGACATACTGGAGATTTGGAGACATTTTAAACAGTGGTACTTGTAATAAATGTATTAATGTTAAAATTACGGAGGATGACAACATAGTCAAAGCTAGTGGGAAACTAAAAAATTGTTCCGGCTCTGGACCAAATACCCAGTTTCGTAGTTCAGGATTGTTCTTTTGTATTTCTTGCTCGTCTACGTTTATAAATTAAAAGCCAACTTGATGTAATTAATAATGTAATAAAAATTCAGAGTGAACGGTCACCGAGTGCGGACGTTTATTCTCGTTTCTCTGTGTTTAGCCTGGTCGTTTTGGTGAGCTCTTTCCATTTATTGTTAACTTTTAGGACATTTACTTATTTTGTTTACAACAAAGGGAATTTTCTCAACCTGCACGGGGTCAGGTCTCCCCTGTGGGATAATTTCATATAATATCAGTAGCAGTCTAGAATAGTTAAAGTATTTTATCGCTTAGCTTTTTCTGTTTACTGCGATAAGCAGCCTTCCAACCTTTTTATGTTTGAGGCGAATGACTGCGGTACGTCGCAGTTGTCGCCTCAGTTTTTCTACATATAACAGCCACACTTCTATTTAAAATGACTGGCGATTCGCTAGTATTTCCCACAAAAGAACAAGCGATAGTTTGTAACGCTATTGCGGACTTAACATTAACCGATTACGTAAAAGCTATAGGTAAGATTGTCTCGCCAAAAAACGTTATCTACGCTTTCAAACTCTCAAAAGAACGTATTTGCATATACCTTAGTGCTACATTCTGGGTAGATGAAGTGGTGTCAAACCATTCATCAATAAGCATAAAGGATAAAGGGATCTGCGTACGTCGTTTAATTAACCCAGCGCGTCGTATCATTCTCTCAAATGTTTATCCTTCAATTCCTAATAGAGTCTTGGAAAACCAGATCAAAGCTTTCGGCTTCACGACGTTATCCCAAATGACGGTCACGAAAGCTGCTATTCTAGATGATGAAGACAAAGAGTACAGTCATGTATTGAATTCCAGAAGACAGATATATGTCCAACCATCTGACACAGTTGAGTTACCCTCCTCGCTAGTACTTAAATTCGAGAACACCAATTATCGAATTTTCTTTATATACGATGACATTTGCTTTAAATGTAAATTAACTGGCCACCACGCGAACGAGTGCCCTAATTTAACTGTTGAAGCTACTCCAAATCCACTCTCCGCCCCAACCCCGGTGGCCTTGACAACGACTGATCTGTACTCTTTTAATGCTCCTGCTAGCAGCAACAAGCGCCCTCTCACTGATGATGACGATGAAGAAACCTCAGAACCCAACTCTCTTGATCTTTCTCTTGACGGAAAGTCAAAAAAGCTAAAGGCAAGTGATTCCACTGAAAGTTTGACCCCTATGTCTGACCTTTTATTGCCTGCAAGAGAACTAATCACCGAGAAACACGATATTTTTCCCCTTGACTTCAACCAAACGGTCGAGTTTATGGGGAAAGCGCATGGCGAAAAGGATATTTTACCCCTAATATATAAGTACACTAATGACGCAGAAGGTATTGTCAATCAATTGTATGAAATATACACGGTTTTGGATCACAAAAGCATAAAAAACAGATGCATAAAAGTACAGCGGAAAATAAGGAAAGCCATTAACGCGACTAAGACCGGTACTGTAAATCTTAACCGGTTACTAAACGAACCTGTAGATCTCACTTTTTAATAAAGATTTTGCAATGCAACCCAACAACTTTTACGTTTGTAAAATAGTTTATTCTAATGTCGCCTCGCTTATGGCAAAGTACAATGATCTCTGTGCCTTAATCCAACAAGACAAGCCTGACATAATCTTATTAGCCGAAACTTGGTTGACTTCTTCTATACCTGACGGGATGGTTTCATTAAACGGTTATACGCTCTTTCGCAGAGACCGAATAGGCAGTAAAGGGGGGGGTGTTTGTATATACTTAGCTGACGAAGTGCTTTCAACCTTTCATGACAGCAATATCCCCACAAAGACACCTGGTACTGAGTCACTATTTCTCAAATTATCAAATAAAGACACTACCCTTCTGCTGGGGTGTATCTACAGACCTCCGTCCTCGGTCGTGGACAATGATAAAATTCTAGTAGAATCTCTATCCCATTTAGCAGACAGCTATGCAACACTACTTCTTTTCGGTGACTTTAACATGCCAGATATAACTTGGCCTATTGATCCTAGGTGCAGTTACAAACCCTCCTCGGAACTTTTTGTCGACCTTCTGACTCATAGTCATCTACGTCAGTTAGTAACTCAACCCACGAGGCATAGACTTAACCAAAACCCCTCCACTCTTGATCTGATTGTTTGCTCCGACGACCATTCCCTGACAAATCTTGACTATCTAGCTCCTATTGGTATTTCAGACCACTCAACCCTAAAAATAGATCTACAAATCTGCCAGTCTCCTCGACGAAGGACTGTCTCGTTTACGAGGACAGTAACAGACTACCGGGCAGTAAACAATGACTTAGCTAAAACAAACTGGGAAACGCTACTTTCTGATGCATCTATTGTCAAGAACTGGAGCACCTTCAAAAACACTCTACAGAGTCTCCTTCACCGTCACACTAAATCCTTTTTCGTGAAACAATCATCAACTAAACCATGGATTAATGGCAGGCTTCTTCAACAAATAAATAGAAAACGAGCCCTGTGGCGTACATATAAAAGATCCGGCTCTGAATTAGACTACAGAATTCACAGAGAGTTTTCTAACAGACTGTCGACAGCCATCAAAGAAGCTAGGTGTGTCTACGAAAAAAACGTAGCCGAAGCTAAAGACGCTAAAAAATTGTACAAGTACATACGAACAAAGTTTACCGGTCCTGTTTCCACTCCGCGGCTCAAAAATACATTCGGGGAGGTACTGGATAATAATAAAATAATAGCGGATACTTTCGCTGACGCCTTCTCTAACGTGTTCACGATAGAACCCTCAGGTTGCTTACCAAAGCTGAATAATATATGCAAACCTATTTCTTCTCTAACATTTCGTTCACAACAGAGGTCGTCCACAAAAAATTAAAGCAATTAAAGGTATCCAAATCTCCTGGCCCCGACCTCATAACCGCCAAAACTTTGCATAATTGCGCTGATACTCTCAGCGAAGTACTCTGTATTCTTATGAAGCAGTCCTTTGATTCCGGTACTCTGCCTGCTGATTGGAAAATTGCCACCGTCCGCCCAATTTTTAAGAAAGGGGATAAACTTGACGCAAGTAACTACCGACCTATTAGTCTTACTTCCGTGGTCAGTAAGATCATGGAATCGATAATATATGACCAGCTGATTAAATACTTAATAGATCACCACTTAATTCCGAACGAGCAACATGGCTTTCTCCCCGGAAAGTCGATCCAATCGAACCTTCTCACCTGTTTATCGATTTGGACTAGAGAGGTTGATCGTGGCAACTCTGTCGACGTCATCTTTTTAGACTTTTCCAAGGCGTTTGACAAGGTCCCCGAACGTCGTTTGTTGTACAAACTGCAGTGTCTAGGTATAAGTGGAAATCTCATCAAGTGGATCGAGTCTTTCATCAGCGAGCGTACGTTTTCTGTAAAAGTGGGTGATTCTTTCAGCAGACCAGTTAAGATGCAGAGTGGAGTACCACAAGGGTCAACGTTGGGACCATTACTTTTTTGGCCTACACCGCCGATCTAAAGAACATTTTAACATCCCCCTTTGCCATGTATGCAGACGATGTCAAACTTTACAATACCAGCACCAACAATTCGCTTTTGATACAGGACCTTGCCGCTATTCTTAAATGGTCTCATGACTGGCTTCTGCCTCTTAATATTAAAAAATGCAGCGTCCTGTATATTGGAAAACACAATCCCAAGTTCACGTACAGCATTGGTGGCGTACAATTGGAGAAAAAGGATTATTGTCAGGACCTGGGGGTAACCATCAGTTCAGATCTCTCTTGGTCGCAACACATCATACGTGTTGTTAAAAAAGCTAATTCTGTGCTGTATCTTTTAAGCAAGGCTTTCTGCAAACCCAGTTACTCCACGTTTGTTAAACTTTATAAAAGTTTCGTGAGGCCCATCCTTGAGTTTGCCAACGCTGTCTGGACCCCCATTCTACAACGAGACTTACTTCTGCTGGAATCTGTACAACGAAGAGCAACAAGAGTCCCGTTTGGTAGAACACGTCCTCAATATTCCGAACGGCTGTCACTTATGAATTTGACCAGTTTGACTCAAAGGCGCCTGAGAGGCGACTTAATTGTCACCTTCCAGGCGTTGACGAATCAGCTGTCTCCAATTTGGCACCTATTCACTCTAAATACCGACCAAAGAACCCGAGGGCACCGTTTTAAATTGCTTCGAGAGGTTCTTAGAACTACAATCCGACAGTTCTTTATCTCCAACAGAGTCTTTCATCACTGGAACTCTTTACGCGACGAAACAGTGAGCAGTCCTTCCGTCATTAGTTTTAAAATTAGATATGATACTCTAGATGTCGCTAGTACTTAGATGTGTATTTAACCTGTATGTAACCTGTATTTAACACTCTGAACTGCGCGGGCATAACAGGCTTCGGCCTCTGCCCGATCGATTTGTATAATAATAATAATAATAATAATAATAATAATTTACACGGACCTGTCAAAGGCTTTCGATAAAATTGATCCTCAGATACTACTCCATAAAATGTTTGGATTTTCTCATCTGATATAAAAATTTATGTCGTCCTCTTTGCTATCCCGCAAAAACATTGTTTTATGTCATGGATACAAATCTAATTAATCATAATTAGAGGATTAATGTTGTTTTTCCACTCGTGCTTTCTTTTGCACACGCTACTGATTGCTTCACTACAACCAAGATGGCGGGCGGAAAACAAATACGAGTGCTATTCTGGGTATAAATGACTGCAAAAAGTGAAAAAAACTGCTGTTGACGCTGTTAAATGTGCAAATTGTAACAACAACTATCATCCTAAATGTGTAGCGTTAATTGCTATGACGACGTGGAATTCTGGGATGTCGAAAATTTGCAAAACACAGAAATGGCTGGAAGAATCTTTTCATACATCATATAGCAAGAAGACCTTCTCATACAGGAACTTCATGAGACAATCAAATTTCAAAATATGCACCCTGAGTTGCTACTTGAAAGTAAAAGTAAAATCTTACATACCAACCAGTTTAGCTTTCGTCAGAGCTGCTCAACCACACAAGCGGTCACTAGCATTGTACAGCGCATGTCGTTGAAGCATTTGAATCAGGCAAGTTAACTTCTTTAACTCTCTGCGATCTGTCTAAGGCGTTTGATTGCGTGTCTCATCAATTACTACCCAACAAGTTGCAGTTCTATGGGATTAAAGGTGTTGTATTAATTTTTTTAAGTCGTACTTATCTAATCGCAAACAATTTATTGAAATCAATGGTCAAAAGTTTGATTTAGCGTCAGTTGAATCTAGTGTGCCACAAGGGTCCGTCTTGGGACCCTTCTTATTCGTCACCTATGTTAATGACATTATTTATTAAATTATTATCTAGCTCCCATTAACTGTATATGTTACGTTGATGGCACACGGTTATTCAGTCACACGACGACATTAACTTATTACTTGACTACAAGACAGAATAAGGTTGAGGAATGGTTTACAACAAATTGCCTCAAATTAAATAGGAATAAAATTCAAAATTTGATTACAACTTCTGACAATAAAATAAATTATAATAAGACGGTGAATTTACTGGGAATCACATTAGATGATGGATTGAAATGGCAGGGGCCCGTAGATACGCTCTGTAAGAAGAAACTTGACACCCAAATATTTATGTTACGACAGTTACGAAAGGTTGTTTCATACGGCCTACTATGCCAATTTTCATTCACTTATGGTGTAGGGTATCCAATAATGGGGGAATTCAACCCATTTGATTAGATAATTTAAACTTCAAAAAAAAAGTAGGCAGGTTAATAACTAATGTTTCATACATTGAACACTATAACCTAGCAACCCGGTGAGGAAAGTGATACTTTTCCGCACTAGTGCGGGAAGTAAAATGTAAGTAAATTTCAAAGATTTATTGATTAATGTTAATGATACAACTATTTATATTAAATGTAAAAGGACAATTTATGTAGTTATTTTTCTCATTGCTTTTGTTTCGATCTTTGTCTTCTGTGATTTTCGTCTCAAACACTTTGCTAACATTAATTTACTGCTTTCTCTTCTGGATTGTTCAGGTCCAACTTCAGTTTCCTTTTATCAGTGACAGTACAAGATTGTCTTCGAAAATCTGACTAGCTATTTTTTTTTCTGTTCTCCGTCGAATCTTCAATGCAGCCTTCCGCAACGGACGTGGACTTCCGCGCTCCATGACGTTTTATCACTGTTATAGGTATCAACTCCGATATCAGCAAGTATGGAAGCTGGCGACCTTCTAAAGTCCTGCGTACTGATTAATATATTCTAATTTTAAATATTCTGCAATGAGTTGGGGAATTTTTACAATGGTGTTTATGCCCACAGGTTGTATTCTGCATTTTCCTGCTTGATAAAACACAAAGAGCGTTGGCGTCTAATGTAATTTGGAGGCAGAGCTGCATATCTAATCACATATTAAATCTATGTCATTCAAATCAGCTCAACAAGCCCCCTATATCCCCAAAATCATAACAACCTAATTCAGTTGTTTAAGAATGTAATAAAATTTGAAATTCTACCTTCATTATTAAATATTTGTCGTCTTTTGCCTCTTTAAAAATTTGGAAACTTCAGTTTGAGTAAATTTTTCAGATTTTTTTGCCTTGTATCCGTCGTTTGTTCTTTTTAAACATGAAATTAATTTTGGAAGCGTACTTATGTCAATGCTGTTGATGCTGTTGGTTTTAGTATAGAATAATATCTCCACATTGTCGAAGATTTCACTTATTTTGCTTTTTTGTTAAAATGGGTCAATACATCTACTTCTAAAACTTTCTTTACATGCTTCTCATTGCACCATTCTAAAAATTCCTTATAAGCCTTGTCGGTCCTTGGATTTTGTCGGTATTAAGTCCTGAATTGCGTTCTCTGCTTCAGCCACTATATCCGAAGGAATAGAATCGTTAGACGAATCTTGTTTTCCATCTTCAACTCAACACACAGAACATAACACAATTAGATGTTATTGACAAATGTTTTGCGCAAAACTTGTTTATGTTTAAATAATAGCGTTCACAATACTTTTTGACTACTCAACGATCAGACGATACGATTTAGCTACGCTACGCTACGTTAGCAAAATAACTATTATCATACATTTGGACCTGCACTGATATGATACCAGAGGAGGGAACTTAGTCCCCCTCGTTGTAAACTGCAGAGTTCCGAACGCAATTATTTAAACATACACCTTTACAATAAATTGCTTCTAAAATTCCGGACGCTAGAACTAAAACAATGTAAGAAAAATATCAAAGCAGTGCTATATTTTCTTACATATTCTATTTTTTGTATGTTTATCTGACGTGGCATTAACGTATGTTGTATATGTAATGTGGCGAGTAAATCATTACTCTCGTTATCACTATGCGTGCATTTGTTTTAAAATATTTAAACTGAGGGCCAGTTTATAGAATATTTTAACAGATATTAAGTTAATCACGCATTTAACGTGGTACATTAATGCTCCATTAAAAATTTAATCGCAATCAAATATATATTTAATTGAGCTTGTGTAAACTGGCTCTTAATATGATAATGGTTTTTTTATAAATGTGGAAATCAATTTATACAAAGAAAAAACTATCAAGATTAAGTGGTTCACAATCAATAATAATTAACAATACATATTATGAGTTTACTGTTGTGGGGTAGGGTAAGCTTAAATTGCAGTTTGATCTGCGCTTTCATATATTGCAGCCAGTGCCAGTGGTTATACAATCCCACAACTTTTATAACACTTTTACAATGAATAAGTAGTCACATTTTAAGGACTTCTTTCTTACGTAAATCGTTTTACAAAATTCAACTTTGCAATTTAATTGACCGTGATTCTCTCTTTTATATAACTTTCTTTTATTCCCTTTTTTAAGAGTTTTGCTGTTTGTCAGAAGTTGCGAATTACCTTGATTTTAACTTCTGCTGGGGAAGTGACGTCGGTACACGTGGTATGCACTATTTGGAAATTTGTGTGATGCAATCTCTGTAAAAACTAACCTTTCGTAAACTTTTTTAATGAATATAACCTAAACAGAGAAAATAGTGTATAGTGATAGGTGCTTAGTAGACATGCAGAATTATACTATAATAATATTACTAATAAGTTTATTCGCCGTACATTCAGTACAAAACTGTGTAGGTCATCGGTGAAATATAATTACTTAAAGAGAAGTAAACAAAAAATGTAGTATTAGATTTTGCGGATTTTTGACTCTTGTTCAAGCGACAGTACAGTGTTGTAAATGTATGCATATGGCGTATAAAATAACTATCGTCTCAGGAATTATTACAGTCGTAATATAATCATCATCATCATCAAATTACTTGTTTAAAAATGTGTCTCTCCAATAAAATAATAATTATAATAATAATAACTTTATTGATTCCAACAGGTATGACACCCATTTACAGGATCAAATAAACATCAACTAAATAAGTAGTAACAGTACTAAACTAACAAAATATAAATTGTACAACTATTAATAGTACAGAAATAAACATGCTTCATTGCGACATAAATATACATCTGAACAATGAGATAGGCAGATGCAGGAGGAGAAAAAAGTTATTCTAAGTTTATAACACATGAAACAATATGTCGAAGTGAATCAAGGTTCATATCGCATAAGTGTGAAATTTTATTAAATAAATTGGACATAATTATAATAGGCGATCGCATAGACATATTGGTTCTGCTAAAGTTAGCGTAAAATAACATCTGTTGTCTGGAGTTTAGACGGGGTACTAGTAAGTTGAATTGGCTGAGAAGCTCAGCACAATCGATTTTGTTATGAAAAAGATTATATACAAATCTAACAGCAATTATATTACGACGAGTTTCTAATGATAGTAAATTATAACGCGACAGTAATAGGGATTGCTCACAACCTCTCGGAGGGTAAATACCATCTTCTAGATACACCATAAATTTGAGGAAACGTCTCTGAACCGATTCTAAACTAAGACAGTGTACATCGTAAATAGGATACCAGATTAAGGAAGCATATTCCAATCTCGACCTTACAAGCGAACAAAACAATAATCTGATAGTTTCAACATTGGAAAAGCGACGACAGTTTCTATAGATAAAACCATATATTTTAGAAGCACTGTTAACGGTTGTATTAATGTGGTCAATGAAAGCAAGTTTGCTGTCAAAAACTACACCTAGGTCTTTGAATGTTTGTGAACGCTCCATTAGAATACCATTTACATTGTACGAGTAGGTGATAATGTCTTGTTTTCTTGAGTAAGAGACTACTCTACATTTGGAAATATTGAGTTGGAGACGATTGCTGTCGCACCAGCGGGTCAC